TATTCAAAGATTTCGACAATAAAGAAAAAATTATCCAAACAATTAAAGATATACCATTAGCTAAGAATATGCTGAAGGAGAGAATTTTGGAATGGTGGAAAATGTAAGCTTTCACAAAGCTTTTAACCACAAATAGAATTGTTTAATAGAAATTTTTTTTTCTGTTTATTAAATTATAATAATTTTTTTCTTGAGAGTGAAAGGAAAAGAAAAAACATAAAATAAAAAAGCAAAAAAGAGAAAAATACAAGAATCATAATTTATGCTAGACAATTTCAGTGTGGCACGTTAGTAATTCCATAAAGATTATTTATAAATTTATGGCACGGACAATGAAAAAGGTTCACCATCCCTGTCCTATAATATCATTTTACTCTAAAGCAGGGGTTGCCAAAGTGGTCGATGCAACATCGTTGGGAGGGGGTCGATGCAGCTAAGGGGTCACAATTTTTTTTTTTTTTTTTTTTTTTTGCTCATACACATACACTTGTAATAAAACTTTGCAGTGGGGGTCAATGTGATGCTTTGGAAAGTGGTTGGGGGTCGACAGTTAAAAAAGTTTGGCGACCCCTGCTCTAAAGTAATAAAAAAAACTATAACTATGTTCCTCTATTTGTGGCTAATAATTTTTATATTAATATTGTATTTTTTTGTCACCCTCTCTCTATTATTGCTAGCAAAAAAGCACAAACTGTAATACTTATTCTTTTATTTTTCTCCCCTTATTATTATTATTATTTTTTTTTTCCTTCTTACTCATTCAGTGCAAGTGAATAACAGTGTGCACCATTTATTGTTATTTGCTTGCATTGGACAAGTCAACTGATTCTACTGACATTCCTCAGTTGGCCTTTTTGAAATGTTCTCTCAGGTTATATTGGGCTATAATATGACTGCTATTTAATAATTAAATATTAAGTAATTTTGCGTAGAGGTATGCATTAGACATCTCCAAAATTTATAAATTAAAAAATTAAATGATAATTTATTTCTAATTATCTAATGACTTAGTTCTATGCAAAATTACTTAATGTTTAATTATAAAATAGCAGCTCTATTATAGCCCGATATAATCTGACAGATCATTTGGCCATATTCAAAATCAGAGCCATGTTCAGCAACGCAGACTTTTGACTTAGTCAGGCTTGCCATGATACTTAGTAATTCTGACTCCACCCACTGTACAAATTATTACTCATTTACTCAGACTACTTTTAGAGGACTTACTACGCTTAGTGATGTCACTCCATCTCTCTCTGTTTTTGCTTTGAAGAATTTTATAATTACGACTATAACAGTCATAAGCATAATTGATGCTCATGCTGGATTAAATAACTTTATTTTTAAAGATAAAATTACTATTTTAATTTTTTATTATATTTATTTTTATTTCATTTTAACTTCGTTCACCAGTTTTCCTAGTTGTCTGGCAAAGAATAATCATTCAATAATGCTCAGAATATTCTTAGCTTTGCCTAGTAAGCTGTTCAGAATTCTTGTTTAGTCTTCTGCATTACTGAACATGGCCCAGGTTAATGGTTGTTCATATTTGTAAGTTTCTTTACTAACAATGTATACATGGAAAACCTGCTCAGGGTATGGTTGCCCTGAAGACAAACAGAACAGGAAATATTTTAAGCCTTGACAACACACAATTCTTTTGACCTTAAATAGGAAAAACTGATATCTTTGGCTACTGATTGATTATGGCCACTTGATTATGACCACTTGATTATGACTACTTGACTGATTATGACTAGTGACAATCATGGATTACATGGGCAAAAATATCCATGCTGTATTTTATCACTATATTATCCATCAAAAAGTTCTTTGTGCCAAGCTTTCGGAAGAATTTTCTGTAGCCATAGAAAAAATCAAGTATTTAATTAACTTTGTTCATGCAAAATCTTCATTACAGCATTGTCTTGTATAATCTTTTATATAGGAATGTGAAGCAGAATATACTGAACTGCTGTTGCGCAACAATGTCCATTGGTTAAGCAAAAGTGAGGTGTTAAAATGTTTGCAAGAAGTATTGAATGAAGTTAACAAATTCCTTAAAGCACTTCAGCCAACATCATAGAAGCAGTAATTTTTATAATTCATGAAGATTGAAGCCGAGATCATATGTTTAGCATTTCTGTAAGATATATTCAAACATATAAATCAGCTAAATACAACATTTTAAGAACAAAATAAGACATTATCCAAGTCTCTTGAACATGCTTATGATTTTATAATAAAGTCAGTAATTTCCAAGAAGTTATTCGGAAGAACATCTCCATTTTAACTGCATTGCATCAGGCATCAGTAGTACACACTGCTGTTGTAGCTTACACTTTATTTACTGCATCCTTGCAACATTTGAGAAAAGAGTTTGATCAAAGACTTCAGGAATTTGATGTGATTCACAAGTTGTGTGAGGTAGTGAAGAATCTTTTTAGTAGTGGTTCCAGAAAGTGACATAAGCACAAGTTTCCAAATCTTTGAAGAATGGAATTTATGTCATGTTTGATTCAAAATATTTGCTTGAAAGTACATTCTTCCTTATGAATTATATCAGAAACACGTACAGGAGCTCCTTAACTCAATGTCATACAGTATAATGCTTCTAAATTACAATGAAATCATACATACCCAATTTTACAGCAACAGTCAGAGAAAAGAAGTGCAATTTCTCTCTTTAATTGTAAAGAACAATTTTACTCAATAAACAAACAGAACAGCCTATGTTACATTATACAGCTATGTAGAGACAGCAGAACAACAACAACAACACTTCTCTTTTTTTCCATTTCCATCAGTTTAATAGTTGAGAGTATATTATTCAGACCAGCAGTAATCCTACCAATCCATATTTGGACCTTGCTACAAATAGTTGAGTAAAGGTGATTTAGAGTGTAAGATAGTTTAATACTTTATAGATAATTAAATCTAATAAATATTTTCATTACTTATGAAGGTTGACTTTGATCAATATTTGGAACTAATATATAATTTTAAAAATGGAAAAAATATCATCATACACACAAAGAACACTTTTTTTTTAACACTTTTTGCTTTTGTTGATACTAAAACATTTTTGTGGATTAAGGCAGCCAGCTGTTCCATTCACATTGTAGCCAGTTGGATAGAACAGCTGAATGGTGAGGAATGGAGCCTGATGTATCCATGAAAAGTTCTGAGGATCTAATCTGGATTCAGAACCATTGAGGAAGGAGCTGGGAATTTTTCCCAGGCCTGTAATGGGGTTCCTATCTCTACAAATTAATGTTATTTTTACTGACAAAAACTAAAATCCTTAAAACTGCTTTTTAGCATGCTCCACTATAGTGGAGAAGTGCTTATGTTAGGACTTTTGTGTATCATTCAGATGTGGATCTGTCAGATTTGCACACGTGTGCCTTGTTCAATCCATTTATTGCACATGTCCACGTGCATGCACAATAACTACTTGATTCCAAGAATTTATAAAATTAATTTTAAACAAAATTAATATTTGATTTGCTTTTTTGGAGCATGCTATCTGATCGGCTCTTAAACCAGGACAGTGTTTAAGAGTAAGCAAAAAATGGGTCTAAAAATAGCTAAACTTAGGTTATTTTAAAAAATTTTTTCTTATTAACCTATAAATTGGTTATATTGCATTAAAAAAAAAACTATAAAATGATCCTCTTTAAAATTTTATTAAATTTTTGAGGGTTAAAAATGAGAAAAATGGTCCCGAACAAACCATGACATACCTAAAGGACAAAAGGGACCTGCTCTTACCAGGTCCCATACAAGCTCTCAACAGCCTTGTCTGGACTCAAATTTAAGTTTCTTGGAACAGCAAGCAAGCAATGTAACCATTAACACTTTCTTCAGATATTAATGATTAATAAGTAGAGAAAACGCAAAGATTTCTGATTTAATATTTTCAGAAGCAGTATGATTTTATCAGCCCATCACGACCATATGTTGCATAAATATTTGACACATATCATGATGTAAACTATAGCATCCAACAATATATTATTGATCCAGTTATGTATATTATGTAATTTTACTAGTCCAGTAAACGTAGATGCATTTTTTAAAAATTTATATCCAGTTTTTTATATAATATTTTTGGAATTTTTAATACCATATCACTAAAATAATTAAACAGTTATCTGTTGAATGAGATATTTTTTTGGAAGGAATATATTTCATACTTCCTGCTCTATTATTGTAATTTATAAAGTTTAAATTCATTAAGTTATGCTTGACTGTCTAGACTTTGATAATCTGTTATTCATTTGATTTACATTTTAATAAATATTCTCCATTTACATAATCTTTTCTTGTATTAAGTAACATTATAATATACTAGCTGCAAGGACCCGCTTCGCTGGGTTTTTATTTGTTCGTATATTTGTATGTAAGATAATTTTTTTAATATATAAAAGACTGTTTTTCTAAGTAATCTAGAATCTAGCTGCAAGGACTTGCTTCGCTGGGTTTTTATTTGTGGGCAAAAAATAACGATAGTGAAGATTAAGATAATTACATTATAGCCAATCTTACCCGGTTTCACAGAATGCAAGAATTAGGTCCCCCGTTTCCAGACTAATTAGAGAATTTTTACGTCCAGTNAGTTACGGTGTCTTGTGTATTGTTGATTGTGTGCGTAAAATATTTAGCTAGTTTCTAGTTATGATGTAAATGTTTTGAATCAGAATTTGTGAATGTCATCTATACTAGGTGTCTTCCAACTGTGTTTTCTTTATTGCATTTATTTTAGCACAGGGCATAATCAGTATCTCATTCATGTTTTGTTCTTTCTCCTTAATCCAGCTAGCTTCATCTTTGTGTGATTGAATTGGACCAAATAGCAGATCAATAATCTGTGAGTTCTTTTTCTATTGGTGTATCATTGTGCTGTGGTTGTTTGTTAATATATATATATATATATAAATATTTTCTAATTTTGATTTTTCTTTTCGTTTCACTAATAAAAGTTTATTTCTAAACAGAAGTGACTGTAATTTATCAGAGAGGTTTGCCTGTAATCACAGTTCCTTTGCCGTCACGACGAGAAAAATGTTGTTTTACGCTGAGACCTATTAGCAGTACCGTGGGTGATTTTTTAAGAGACATTCAAAGTGAAGACAGAGGCATCGACAGGATAGGAATTCATACCACAGGTAAGTAGAATTTATATAATGTTAACTGCTTTTATTACTTTCAGACAATTTAGATTTTAAATATTTTCATATAGTAAGACACCAACCGAATGCCGTAAATTAATCGGGCTATTAAATATTTTCATAGCAGGTGAAATTTTTATGGTCTATTAAATAGTTTTTGTAATATGTATTTACTTTCTTTTATGCCCATAATTATTTTTATTTTAATTAATTTATTTATCACAATACATTTATGGTAGTGTTGCAATTGATAAATGGTAATCTTTCCAATAAAACAAAAACTTGTTGATGTATCACATACTGATTTAGACTCTTTAACCACTCTCAGATCTTTACTAGAAAAATTATTATTTAATTATTTAATGTTTTTGCCTGTCTGAGAAGCCGTCATCAAGATACACCTAATAGAACATAAAATGGACTACTTTGACTTGAATTTGATAGAATACAAGTCAACCCCCCTATAACACTGTTGATTTTTCCGTTTTATATGAATTTCATATTGTACGAGTCACTTAGATTTTACAAATACGTGACCCATTCACAGCCCGGCACACGTATTTGTAAAATATAAGTGAGTCGTACAATATGAAATTCATATAAAACGGAAAAATCAACGGGTGTTATAGAGGAAAAAGATATAAGGATATTGGAGAAATTGTTATAAAATAAAATAAACTAATGTACAAACAAGCTAAAAACAATAATACAAAGATACGTAATAAAAATAAAAAATAACGTAAAATGAACGTATTAGCTTTATAAGAAAATATGAATACAATAAATCAATAAACAGGTGAAGTCAAGCACCCATCACAAACATTGCAAATACATACTATAAATATTCATGCACTGAAAGGAGACTCGACTTTGTCTGTTTATTGATTTATTGTACTTATATTTTCTTATACAACTGCTACGTTTATTTTATGTTATTTTTTATTTTTCATATAAAAGTTTAAAAGAACTGTCTATCGACCATAATAAGGTTTCGATGAGTAAAACACAATAAATATTTTGACATGTATAGAATATCTTCTTCAGCCAAAATGAAAACAAATTTTAAAACATTGATATGAATTTTAATATTAACGTTAATATGTTCTAATCGGAGTGGACATGTTATTTTTAAATGTATATTGTTAATTTGTATTAATTGGAATGCACGTGTTAAATTTAAACGGTGTGTTATTAAAATTACACATTTAATTAATGGTCAAAATATAATTGAAAATTATTGGCATCTGATTTAATATTTTAAATTATTGAATAGTGAAACCAATAGATTTGAGAGCTCTAGAGTGGGCCTATTTCTATCTTTATTTATGTATTTTTTGTATTATTACTTTAACTTATTTATTCTGTTTTATTTTATATTTTATAAGAATGTCGGCAATATTCCAATATGCCCTTGTTCTATACACAAAATTTAAAGCCAGACAATCTGCTGAATTATTGAGCTATAATAAGACTAAGTTAATATAAATAATTAAATACAAAGTAATTTGTCTAGACGTAGGCAATTAAGCTGCCATCTTATGATAATTTTAATAATTATAATAAATTAATTTCTATTTAGAATTTCTGGAAGAAAAGAATTGGCCCAGAGCAGGACTCAAACCCACAACTTCTGCATACCATGCTGATATGTTGCTAGTTATGTTACGTGACGCCATCCGATCTTTACTTCCAGTACTGTTAATTTAGATATAACCATACCAGGTCACTCACAGCTGGGCTGATTATTTTCTTTCAGAAATTCTAAATTAAAATTAATTATAATTATTAAAATTATCATGAGATGTCAGTTTAACTCTAGCTAAACTAAGTTAATAATTAGATATGAAGTAATTTTTCTATCTGTAGACAAATTACTTCATATCTAATTATTAACTTAGCCATATCATTGCCTGATAATTTGGCAGATCATTTGGCTTTAATTAAAAATCAGGTTTATTGTGTTGTTGTTTATATATATATTCAAATTTATGTATTCTATCAAATTCAAATCTAATATTCCATTTTGTTCTATCCAGTGTAGACTGAAGATGACTTGGCTGCACAGACAACAAAAAATGTTAGTTAATTAAATGATAATTTTGCTGGTGAATGTTGAGAGTGGTTAAAAAACTTGTTAATATCCATTACAAGAAAAACAACACAAATATATAAAGTAAATGTAAATCTGTTACAATAAAAGTTACACTTAAACCTATAATACAGAACATAAAAAAACATATATTAAACTTGACAATACAATAAATTTTTATAAACTCATACAAGACAAATATAAAAACCATTCCACAGATTTTATGAACTGTAGTAATTATTGAGAAATAGAAAGCTGGTAATTCAGAATATGTTGATATTTTGTTTTTAGTTAACCTAGACGATATCCTTAAACTAACAAAATAGGAAGAGTTTACAATGTTTAGTCGAAATATGTCAATACTTAATCTAAATCCAGAGAATTAATATACTCTTGTGTCAAATTTCCATTTGAAGTAGGTGAGAGATTATCAGATTTGTTAATTAGTAAATACAGAATAATTTTTTTAAATGTATTGTTTATTCTACTGACTTATGATAGGAGAGTAATGCTCTAAACTGGAAGTTAGTAATCAGTAATGAATTGAAAAATGGAAAAAATTGCCCATAAGACAATTTTAGAAGAGACATTCCAGCGATGTCACTATAAAAAAACTCTTCTCAGAAAAATTCTTCACTGTTTTATCAATATGATACTTATACATTAAGTTGTTATCAGTAATTATTCTCACATTATGAGAATGCCATGTTCTGATTATTGATATAAGAATTTGACAGGTAAAACGCATGAAGCACAACTTTATAAAAGGCAATATTTAACTTGTTGATATCTTACTGAAGTAAAACTGATCACTACTACTAATTTAACATTATCTGCATATGCAATGATAAAGGATTATGAAATTTGTAAAGCTTAGTTAATTAAGCAATAAATATCAGTGAAGTGAGAACTTAAGAGGAAAAGTTTGCATTTAAAATCACCAAGTGTAACTCTGTTTATACGAGACAGAAAGTAATTACTCAACCACAATAAAATTGAGAGGAATGTCAAATTTTATTTCTAAAATATTTAGCAATGTTGCAGATAACATTGAATCAAAAATATCTCTGCTATATCTGGGTAAATTACATAAGTGAGAAACTTAATTTTTAAGTCTTTTATGATTTCAAATTGTTTACAAGTAAATTTTTCATAATTTGCATACTAAATTGCTATATTGGAAAAAGTTTAGATGTGATTACGGGCTGAATCGAATGAAATGTACATTCTTCAAATATTTTTAGCATATTAGATGATAGTAGATATACTACTAGTAGATGAACACACCAGAACCTGTAAATAAATTAATAACGTACGCTCAAGCCCATGTTACAAAAAATAAGAGAGTTTAATGAACACTAAAATTAAAGATTAAAAGAAACTTAGCAAATGGTTTTTCAAATCCTTTTCTAATCAATCAAACTTCTTCAGACAAAAAGAATTTGAAATTGATCATATTTTAAATTTTATATGAATAGAACATATTTGAAACAAGCGATTATTTATTGTGACATTGTCTCAATGCTAAGCTGCAATTTTTAATTATATTTTTAATTTATCTAATTTAAAATATGTGCTCTCCACCTCAAATTAGTAGTGGCTTGCCCCTATACGTCATATTTTTTGTTTCAAAATAGAGCCGTGTTAGTCATCTATTAACTGCTTTCAGGGAAAAAGTTTTGAATTGAAATAATGTGACTTCCAGGTGAAAGGAAAGAAAAAAAAATGTTTTCATATATGCTTAGTTTGTCAAAGTTGATGTTGTAAGGTTTTTGTATTAGAAATTCTAAGGTTTCTGTAATAAAAGTTAGGATTTTCTTGTGATAAGAAACAATTGCACTTAGTTGGAGATGATCTCGGTGTGTGAATATTAACATTCTGTTATTACTAGCTTGACTAATTCTGTTGTCGTCTTATTATTAGATGTTTTTCTCTTACCTTCTTTCATTGAAGGGCTTGGTGGAAAAGCTGCATATTTCAAATTAAGAAGTTTTGAGAAAAAAAGAATATCTGTTTTTCAATTTAACAGCACTTTAAAGTGTGATGTTTTATTAATGTTGGTGGGACATGCAACCATGAAAGTTGAAAGTTTCTTAAATAATACACAAATTGTTAATTACACACTTTTTATAATTTTACAGGATATGCCATTTCTCCATTAAGCCCCTCAATCCTTTTTTGCAAAGTATGAGATGTTGCAATAGCATAAAAAGTTGTATTTTGTGTTTGTTCTAGAACTTAAAAAGATTTTATAAAGATGTTAATACTTATCCATTGCAAAGGTGTATGTAACAATGGTAAAGAGTGTATGGAAATGCTTAAGCCTAGATTTTTGGATATTTTGTGATTTTTGTCTGAACAATTACCAAAGAGAGGTAAAGAATGGGGAGAGAAATTGATTTTTTGAGATAAAGTAAGGAGAGGTGAATCATAAAAGGTATTATTTTTCACTTTGTAAAGGTAATTGAACTTGCTTAGAAATCTCATATGTAAAACAGTTTTTGACTATACAGTATTTATTTCATGAATTGTGTTAGAATGGCTACTCTACGATCCTGTTCACACTGTATACAGCAAAACATACAAAACTTGCCATGTAGACATTTTATTGTGACTGTATTTTATGAAAGACGCCAGAGATTTCTCATGATTTCATTGGTAATGACAATTTACAGTGTTGTGGCTAGCCATGGTCATGATCTCAAACCAGATCATATGAAAGGAGAAACCATGTGTGTAAGATTTCATGGTTTGAGACATACATTATTGATATGCTGAAGCTGGAACTTTTACAGGAGCCCCTTCACAACCAGCAACAATAATACAACATCCATCAAGGTCCAAAGAGCTTGCTGGCCTTACAATGATCTTTAGGTCCAAATGGCAGAGTAAGGGGTGGTGGGATAGT